CGTCATCGAATAATGAAATTAGTGTTCTTGATTTTTACTATGTTTGATGATCCCAACTATCCAAGTAATTGAAATATTGTCATTATGGTGTCTAATTATTATTTTTGATTAATTCAAACTTGCTGAACTCAATTGATAGGAGTGTTTCTGGTTATCCTGAAAATCCTGTGATAATAATCAATTAGTTGAATATAATTGATTATCAAATTTCACTAATCATCCAGCTCTACTGTAATCACAAATTGTCAAATCTGATAGTTATGTGCCAGTGTAAGTACAAAACACCAAATTTTATTTGTATACCAATCTAAACACTAATTACTGTTGTTTCAGATCTCCAAGTTTTAGAAAGATAAACCTTATTTCATTTCATTTTAGTACCATGTACATTGTGAAATGTGAAACTTAATAAATTACTGTGAGTCTGTGTACTTGTCATCTGAAATTTGTAATACAGTTCTTTAAAAAAAGAGTAATTTGCCATTTTTTATAATACTTAACTCCATTTTACTGGTAAAGTAAAGCCTATTTTTCCCTTTTACTAGAGTGTGAAATTCAACTCTTAAATGCACATTTCATTATGAAGTGTAACCTGTGTTATTCACATACACTTGAAAGTCACTACATTTATATAAATGCCTAAATACTTAAGAAGTAGACTTGTTTTAGGAGAAATTTGTATAAATTACTGTTATGAGAAATTTGATTTTGCTCTTACACAGATTTGGTCCTTTAATAAACAAAATGTTACTGTAATTTTTTTTTACATGTAAAGTTCAGTCAGTATTGTTTCCCCAATTATCTGTTAGCCAGATCCATTATACATTTATTTTTTGTGTAAATAGAAAAATGATTATGAAAACTATGTGGCTGCATTTCTTTTAGGCACTGTTGCAGGATTAAACACACACACACACACACACACACACACACACACACACACACATAAAAGATATAACAAAACAGTGTAAAAAAATCAGTCAGTAAAACTAAGTGCTGTTTTTGGTATATCATAATAATAATTTAATCTAGTGTTCTAGGTTATATATATTATTTAAAAGTGTTGGTAACATTCATATAATTTGATATTAAGATATATTAAAAGCTACCAGTTGAATTTCCCTTTGTGATGTTTTTAAAGTACTACAATATGTATTTTAAGTTCAAATACACATTCATTTTTATGTATTATTTGTAACTTAAAAAAACTGGTAGTGGAACAAATTGAACAACCAACATGATTTGGTGATTGGACAGTTTAGGGACTGTAAATGAGTAAAAGAAAGATTTTTTTGTTAATCAAAATTTTGATTGTACTATGTTTCACACAAACACAATTGATTTAATTATTGTAATCTCTATATTTATAAATATTAATGTTGTTAATTTTCAAGTTACTTCTAATTATAGAAGTTTAAGTTTAACGTGTCATTGTTTTCTCTTTTTCAAGGGACTTCACAATACATTGAGGGGGCATTGTTGTAGACTATGGTATTTTTGTTTGGCCAGAAGGAAGTTTAATGTTTGAAATTTTCTCCAAAGTTTTATAATGATTTGAACTGTATAAAACATGGATTAGGCTAGAGCAAAGTTATTATTGGTTTTTTGACTCATAGTATGGTACATTAAGTCTGAAGTAGTGAGTGAGTCAGTTATAAAATAACTTTGAGTTAGTGAATTTGTTAGTTAATTAATTCAGTTCTGTAAATAGTGAGAAATAAAGATGTGAGAATCAGTTAGTGGAATTTCTGCTAGATGTAGTTTATTTGTGAAATTAGGCCTAAAAGTTGAAGAAATAACATTTTGTAATTAAAAAAGTTGTTGTTTGTGGGAGTCTGGTTTAGTTTTTGATGTTTTTCAACCCTTTTTTTTAGGTTTTGACCCACATTCACATATGGCAAATTTTCACCCAAATAGTGGACCCTCAGCAATATGTCATCATCTAAAATCTCAAGAAGTCCAAAAAATCAAGACTACTAGTCATGGTTCAGATGTAAAAACCCATACCCTTTTTGTTAACAATGACTATGCCACAACTAGCCAAAACTTTTTGGTGGCTGCTAAAGGTGTTCCTACATCTGCTGCTTTCCCATGTGTTAATCCATCCAAAGTGGTTTCTGCAGCAGCAGCTGTAGAGAAACAGGAAGACATGAAAGACAAGTCATGGCCCTGTCCAGCATGTCAGGTCCCTTTCAAGACAGCATCTGAACTCCAAGCTCATCTTTCTCATCACACAAAAGATGATAGAACAGCTCCTTGTGAAACCTGTGGTAAGCTATTTATTTCAGCAGAGAGAGTCAGAATTCATGTGCGTGCAGTTCATGGAAAAAAGTCTTGTTCTTGTGACATTTGTGGCAGTGGTTTCAGCTACCGTTGTAAGTTATTGGACCACATGCGAACCCACACAGGAGATAAGCCATTCCACTGTGATGTCTGTGGAAAGAACTTTTCCCAAAAGAATCATTTGACTCGGCATTCTATGATCCATACTGGAGAACGTCCTTACCCCTGTGATTTTTGTGGAAGAGGTTTCTACCGGAAAGACAAGCTATCCCGGCACAGACGTATACACACAGGTGAGAAACCTTATATATGTTTAACCTGTGGTAAATCATTCTACTTCAGAGATAAGTTAACATGTCACATTAAAATACACAGTACAGAAAAGCCTTTTATGTGTGCCATCTGTGGAAAGAGACTTGTTGAAGAAAAGAGATCAGAAGAGATATAAATGCTCCTCTCACCATTTACACAATTCCAGCTCCATCAAGTACTGGATGATAGTCCTGCACTGTAGAATTCAAAAGCAGCTTGGCCATGTCCAAAAACAGTCTGACCATTCCAAGCAACAGCCTGACCATGCCCAACAGCAGTTACAACAACAAACTTTCCCAGCTCAGTCCCATCACCAACAATGTGGATCACAATTTACAACACAACCCTAACCATTTCAAATTCTTACCCTACAAACATAATTGGCAAGGTCCACCACCAGGGATTCACTGAGCAACTTGAGCTTTCATTGGAAACACTATTAGTGTCAAACTCAGGACAGGTTCACTTTCATTTTCATCTTCTTATTAAAACCTTTTTTTTTATCACATCAGTAGTAGGAGTCCATTAGATCCGAACCTAAGTGTAATCAAGCATGTATCATAAGTAAATATATATATATATACGTACATGTATATGTTTACTTTTATAGACACCAATCTTGATGTGCATCACCATTTATTGATATGATAAGAAGAAGATCTACATTAATTTATGTTGTAAATAGTTTATTTCTGGGTCTTGTATAAAAATATGTAGCTGCTATTTCATATAGCATTTTATAACTTAAACGGATCATAGTGTAGAGATAAAAATCATATCGATTGAGGATATTATGATAATACATGTCAAGTGTATTACTGTTGTGTGTGTGTTTCAGTGTCGTTATTCTTTGAACTATTGGCTTTCTTCACCATGCATTAAGTATATATATGTATGTGTTTATGCATGTTTTTTTTGGTAAAAGATTGAAATAGCTCTTATACTTGTGTGAATACATAGAAATGGTTGTGAAGTTTAAAGCATAGTCTGGTTTGACAGCAATAAATATAGTCATAGTATTTCATATAGTACTAATAAATGTACTTCTTTTTAATTTCATTTAATTCCATGGCATAGTATTTGTGTACAGCATAATGACGATGGCATTCAACATTTTAAATACAAAGCTTTTTAAAAATTTTGATGTTTTTTTTTTGTTTTTTTTTTGGTTATTAAAGTTAGAGTAACAAAACCTGTTTTTTTTGTTTTTTTTTTGAGACTACAGTAATTTATTCTTAGATTCAGGAAACTGCTTATTATTGATGGGAAATATCATGACATTTTATAATGTTGTGGCACATTAAGCTGCAAATAGTTTTAATAGAAATGCTCTGTAAGTTTTTTTTTTATGTCTTTTTATTTTAAATATGCTAAGTCATGTTTACTGCATTCTAGTCATATAAAACTAATTTATTATTTGCTCATGATTTCTCAAGGAAACTTTTTATACTGACAGCTACATTATAATTAAGCAAAAAATAATCAAGACTTCAGTAATGACATTGTAGGAAGCTTTATGCATATTAACAAACTATGATTCTTTTTAAGCTAACACATACAAACATAATTGGTAATATATGCAAATTTTTGAAAAGTTATTTATAGAAGAATACATAGAAGTCTGTTTTTGTGAAATTTACTCTGACAAATCATATTATTTTTATATTTGTTTTTAATGTTTTCTTGTAAGACTGTAACGATATGCTTAACTTGTGGTTTAATATGTTTTATAGTTCTTTTATCACAATATGACATGTATCACGATACCTGTGACTGTTAATTTGTTAGTATAGCAAACGCTAAATGATCAATATTGCATTTATAAAGAGATAAGAAATTTATTTCTTAAAATGTAACTGTTGATCATCTGAAACATCAACTTTAATGCTAAAAATATCAAAGGCAGTGTTTAATATAATCATTTATATAAATTTCTTTAACCATAAATGCTGCCAAATTGTGGGTTGTTCCAAATATTGAGGCAGCATATCAAAACTAGTATTCCACCTGGAGCATGTGCTGAGGAAGCTTAAGTATAAACTAAGTTGCTTTCAGTTTAACATTTGTTGAAACAGGAAACTATCTTGTTAACCCACCCTAACAACCTACCCACTTTCAAGACACAAAGGCCTTTCTGAGCATCCAAATTAATTGTTTGTGCAAATCATTATACTTGGGTGAGAGTAGTGCCAATTTTACTGTATTGCAAATATTATCAGTTGTAATAGCTAGATTGTTAACCTTTTTCAAGTCTCAAGAAGATAGTCTCTTTCAGTATATCTGTATAATGCCCAGTAATAGTAATGTAGCTTTCAGTAGATCTCAAAATTCATCCATCACCAATAATGGAAACGGAAGCTCATTTTCAGTTTAGTGTTATGCTTGTTCTTTTCCTCTTTGTACAGATCTGTACTAACTAGAGTACTGAAGTGAGTCTTCAAAGGAATCTCATATCATGGTTGGAAAACCTTAACCAGAGTTATGAAGCCAAGATTATCCATCACTGAAAATGGTCTCGTTTCTTTAGTCATAAAGATTCAAATAGCCCTTGTTTCTCTTGCCCCTTTGACTGTTTGTGTTTAATTTAATTTTAAAGCTTCCTGGTGTTTAATCATTGTGATCTTTACTGATTATAGAAAGAGAAGCTTGTGAGAGTTTACTTTTAATTTCCTTCATTTATTGTAAAGTAATATTTTTCTTCTCAGGTTTTTGGCCAAGTTTGATGTTGTTCACCTTTTATAACTGACTTCCATCTCACAGATTTTACATATTTTTTACTCTGTTCTGATTCAAAACAACCCAAAATATTTCCAAACAGTTTATATGTGGGAAATAGGTACATCCTGTATTTTAAACTTTGATGAGTCAGCCATTATTGAAGAAAATTGTTATACAATACATAGACTGAGCACTTGCTTGCATGGAAAAATATATTTATAACTTATATTGTTCAAAGCATGTTTTTATATAACATAAAAGAATATAGAAAAAAAACAAGAAAAATTGAACCACAATGCAAATTAGCTATGTATCAGACTGTGGCCAATGAACTCTGATGAATCATCATGGCTCTATTTTCTTGTGGACTTCATTCTGAAGTGTAGTACATGCTTCTTGTACTTTATTTTTGTGTGGAGCTTTTTACAGAAGAAAGGTAACGTAATCAATTTGAACACCTTTTATGATTTAAAAGAACATGTTTCCTAAGAAACATTAACAGCTAACTACAAGGCCTACAAAACATAAACAAGTAAAGAAAAACTTTTCAAAAAAATAAAATAAATGTAGGGATAGCTAATATCAATCCTTTAAAAACAATGCAAACAAGATAATAGGGATGGCATTTACATCAATAGTGCAGTAAAGCATTAACAGAAAAAAATAGCATAAATTATACTCAATTGTGATAAAATAATTTTATATATTGCTATACGTTATTTCATTCCTGTGCCATTATGTAGGGATGATGCAAATGTCATTCCTACTATCTTGTTTGCACTGTTTTTGAAGGATTAATATTAGCCATTCCTACATTTACTTCCTTTTTTGAAAAGGTTTTTCTTTATTTGTTCTCTTGTTTTTTAATGCAGTATTTTAATAAGACATAGAAAGGTTGTATTTATAACCAAGTTCTAAAGACAGTGAGGTTCCAACTATAATATTTGTTGTTTATCTATTATTGACTGGTAATTCCTGTTTCATCCTGTACTTAAGTCTCTTAAAGGAACACCAAATTTCTGTAAGGAAGCTAACCTTAAGGGGTAATGATAACGTCGTTTACATTAAAATTACATTTTTTTTAAAACTACTACTAGTTATTAATAATACATATAAAAGTGTATATATAAAAGGGGATATATTGTGGAGATTGAGCAGTACAGGAGTCAACCTCTCATGCCTACTTCTGTCTCACTTCCTCCTAAGCCTTTTGAGCTGGGCCAGGCTGATGATGATTTTGATCATTTGTTTCTCCCCAGTTGAAGTTTGCTGCACCTTCCCATCCACTACCTAATGAATCAGCTCATCTGTCATCAGTCTTTTTAGACTATCTCTCAGGTATATGATATTTTGTCTCTTACACCTGTTTCCTATGACCGTAGACCTTCTCCCTTATATGAAACAACTACCAGACCGTATTTAGTCTTTCCCCCACCCCCAATATTATGATCCATGCTGATCAATTTGCCTCTTAACTGGGGAGAGTGCTACTATGCCTCGTCTCCCACAGACCTTGGATCAGTCTGCCCTTGCTTATCATTGGGCAGACTCTCCGACTGTTGGGGTCAGTTCTACCTGTTTGGGGGGGTGAACCCAGATTATCCTGTCCAACTTATCCAAGTCCAATTTTCTTGCCTTTATCTTGCCCTCATGACCCTGTTAAGGTACCTTTCCACCCTTCACCTTCTTTCAGAGGCTCTTCACAGGAACCTTGAGGGGTTTTCTGCTGAAATCCTCTCTATCCTTACTTTTACATTGTCTTGTCTGTCATCTTTGGCTCTTGAGCTTCAAACAGGTTTTGTTTGTTGTTGGGACTTCTTTGGCCATGATGCGGTCATTCTGCATGGTCCTTCTGATTGCATCTTACTGACCTGCTCAACGTTGGTTCTCTCAGTTGCTCCAACTATAGGTGGTCCCTCCCTACTCTGTCAACCACAGTCACCGGTGCTCCATCCCACGCTGTCCATCTTCACTCCTGGCTTTTCTCAGGTCTAAGGTGAAGAGTTCTGGTTTCTCTCACAGAGTAGCTTCACATTTAGCCCGTTCCATTTGCCTTTCTTCTTTGGCCTTCTATCAACACAAGTGGAGGATTTATCGCTCCTGGGCATTGGCTTGGGGTTTCCAGGCTTCTCACTCAATGGTTGCCTGTATCTCCAAGTTTCTCACGTGGCTGTTTGAGAGGGGTTTTATGTCTCCTCGATTTCGGAAGTTTTGGGCAGCGTTATCCATACCTTCCAATTTTACCTGTTTCCACAGAGTATTT